CCTTTTCCTGGTCTGTTAAAGCTGTATCTGTACCGCTGGACAAGGTGGCAGGAAGACTTGCATTACCTTGTCTTACTCGGTTTATAGCTGTCCAAAATGCTGATGGAGAGGTAAAGGATTTTGCTAACAGTTAAATACATTTCATTTTAAATCCGTTTGAATCAATATAAGCATTAAATGCATTTAATTTCGTTTTTCTGAATTAACGAAATGAGAGTCCATGAGGACATTTTCGATACATTTATCGCGATAAGTGCTTGTTTTATCGAGGCCGTCACGGAGTTTTTGTAGTTATCGCGATAATTACTTTATCATGATAAAATAGTCCATTATCCCGATACCGATTCTTTATCGATAACTCGCGATAATAAAATTATGACAATAAAAAGGTTACTTTGTCCGATAAATTATTTATCTCTATAACTGCAAAAACTCCGTGACGGCCTCGATAAAACAAGCACTTTACATTTGTTCTTCTAGAAAATATACTAAGCAATAAATGTTGGATGATGATGATGTAGGCAATATTGGTTGTTCAGCATATTTATTTGTTTGTCCACGATTTGAACGAGGTGGTAATGCTAGATGATAAATGGTTAATCATTAGTCGAATTATTAATCTGGAATGAAAAGTAAAACAATAGTAGTAGAAAAACTCAGTTCTTAGTTTTGCCAAAAGATACATACTTATGTTCTCATCGACGAAAAGGCGCTCTTTTTGAAGTCGCGATTTTTTGTTTTTCAAGTGATTAGGCATGAAGAAAAAAGAGAAAAGACTTAATTCGCGGACGAAGCAAAACGAACATAAAACTGTAGCAAATAAAAACAAAATTAGTGGAAAAACAATCTCTCGACTCTTCAATCATGCTCGAAATTGAGAGAAAGTGGTGTATAAATAAGAACATTATCCAGCTCAGTAATGATGCATTTTCTCATCGAATCTTTCACGGAGAAAAGTCGAAAGGATTTTTTTTTGGGTAGCGGTACAACAGCAAAAAAGAAGTTGACAGTTTTTGTTAGAATATTCGAATAAATAGTGGAATGCGCATAGTCTGAGAATTTTGCTGCTGTATCTTTATGAACAATTTCTCCGAAACAAAAAGTGGCATGCTGGCAGTCAACAAATAGCATGATAAAAGCTCTATTTCTGTCAGAGGAACCAATATGAGTGAGACTTGAGGATATCTCAGCAGTATAGCTGTTAGAATTTCCACGACGTGTGTAAGACAAGGAATGAAATAAAATATTTTTTATTCTAAGTCGACGATATAGTTTCAACTGACAAGTGCACATTTGAAACTCAGCAATTTGTTGTTCTAAAAAATCGTCAACAAAAACATCAAGAGGTTGAACAGCAAACGAATCGGGCGAAGTAAAAAGAGTATCATCAACAGACGAAAGATGACGATCGATATCATGATAAAGACTCAATTGATCACCAAAATAAGTTGTACCATGTTTGTTTCTTATAAACAAACGTAAAAATCCTTCAAACAGAAAACAACTCGTTCCGTTTACACTTCCAAACTGGTTAGTCAAAAATCCATAATGTGTATGAATATGAAGAGATTTGCTAATACACCTAACTCATCGTCATTTGATAGAACAAATAAAGAAAAAAAATTGTCAGCAAGAGCATTCGAGTTAACAAGAACAAGAGTATCGCCATGAACAAGACGAATACCACAAACAAATAGACAAATACGAGCAAACAATTCAATATCTTTTTGACCAACTAAACATGGAAGGAAAACATCCAATAGCAACGTCCTTGACTCGTTGGCTTTATAATAATTTCGATATGTCAGAGAACTTAATTTTCTGCTAAAGTCATGAGGTAAACAAACACTTAATAAACGATTATCAATAACGTCGATCGTATTTTTTGGCAATGTTTGAAGAACGATAGTTAACATGGAATCAAAAACACATTTTATCGTGCTGTGCATATAATCAGGTCTTAGACAACGAATTAGTCGTCCGGGAAAAAGTGGCTCGGATACAGAAAACCCTTTAACACCTTGGTATGTGGGATTGGCACGAGACTGTCTTCTGTTTTCTGCCACAGTCGAAGCATCCCGATAATGTTGTCTCAGAGTACGAAGTGGACTATTAACGGTTTTATAAACAACTTTTTTAAGTTGGAAATCGTAAAACACCATGATTTTCACAAATATAACAAGAAGAAAGATCCGCACTACTTATAAAATTAGAAAAGAGAGACAAAGCAGAAGAATCGGCTGTAAAAAACAGAAAATATATATCAAATTTTGTTTGTTGATGGTTTAATAATAGAGTCAAGCCATGTTGTCTGAGATGAAGAATGAGCAATTGTTGAGTCTAATGTCAGTTTGATATTTGGCTTTTCTAATCCAATACTAAATTGAAGAACAAGCATATTTTGAAATGAATAGCGGATAGGGGTTGGAATTTCCACAATTCCAGCAGAGAAAATCCATGCCGCTTTTGACTTACTGACACAAAGTGGAACACCATCACCACTAAAGAGTAATGTGAGGGTGTGATTAGTCTTCTTTCTTGATACGCTCTGCCAGTCACAATATCTCTACCACACAACTCAGGACTATTTTCCAATTTGGCCTCGTAATCAAATATAGATGGCTAAACTTTTTGTACAACAGATGATACTTCTTTTTTAGCATCAATAGTGTAGACTTCTTGTACATTCTCAAGTTTACGTTTAGCAGAACAGGAACAAAAATTCTGAGTGACAAACTCTGTCCAACATAAAGAACAAACATTACTTTTGAAAAAAGACGGTTGAATGAGTACAATTTTCATAAAGATTTTCAAATGAACGTGGAACATTGCTTGACTGAAGAATTGGACATAAACAACAACAACCATCATATGGTACTTTTGTTTAGCAGGCTGACGCGAGGCGTAGCTAAAAACTGAAGACAAAAATCAAACGTTGAGAGATTTATGTGTGGATGGATCAATTCATGTGATGAATGTGTTAGTGACGAATTCTTTTTAACATAAACACATGAACAACTAGATGACATGAAAGAACAAATAACAAAAATATTGGAAATATGTGATGAACAATTACAAAAAATGGAAACGTAGAAGATATCATCATGCGTTGGTACGAAAATCTTTAAATTTTGAATTGTTAAATTCACAACAACGTGGATATGATGATGCTGGACAAAAATGTTCGAGAAATGAAACAAAATAAAATTCAACAATCAATGATAAATCAAACAGCCATCACAATGTTAATAGATTACGTTCGTTTTTTGTTGGAACAAAATCTGGCTTTTAGAGGTGATAATTATGAAGCTAGTAATCTTTTTCAAATGTTAAACTTTTTGGCAAAGTATAACCCTGTGATGGCTAAATGATTACAAGGACGAAAAAATCGACCGTATCAAGTAAATAAAATTATTCTAATTTTAACTAATGTAAACGCGATCTAAGTAGTTAAACGCCCTCTACAAACTAGTTTTGCTGTTAGTCTACCAGTTTATTCAAAAGTGTTTTCTACGGTTAGTCATTATATGAGTAAAGGCCTTGAATCACTGATTCGTAACGACGAAAAGGAAAAAATTTTCCTTTTTGCCGTTACGAGTCAGTGTTCTGCCTAATGCGTCACTTAAAGCACGAAGAAAGATGCAAATAACAATGTGCGCAGTATACTTTTTCATGGTATAAATAGGATATATAGAAGACCAAACAACTTTAATTAAAAATAATTAAGCTTTTCAACAAGATTTAAGAAGGACCATATAAGGCATGATTCTTCACTCTCTTTCTGTACTGCACGTTTTCTCAGAAAAATCGAACAAAATATTTTGACTGGCATAAGACCTTTTCCAGTTGAAATCACAATACTCTCCAGAGATTAAGCCTTGCGAAAATCTTGACAATAAACATCCTTAAAACATATATTCATTATCTGATTTCTTTCACCAGAGAATGCGTTCTTTACAACAAAAACAGAATGCAATCTCTAGCTACTTCACAAGTTGATATGTTGCTTCAACAAAAGCAAATAATTATTGTAGTATCTGAAAGTGGACATCATCTATCTACCTATTTTAATTTTAATAAATTATCTATGTTGCAGTCAAGAAGTTTCAATTACATAATTTATTCAAAAAGAGTTCTAAAAGCCTGAATTTCACTATAATAAACCCAAAAATTTCATTCTAGAATTTATTGTCATCAATCGCTTATTCATATTTGGCATTGTTCCTTCACTTCATTTAACCTTGTCCGAGGAAAATACTCGAAGTTATGTTGAATTCATATACATATAAAACGTTATATTCAATACTCACTGACAAACCAACAAAAGTTCTAAAAATTTTGTTAATTACAGCGTTGATTATATTTGGTCAACTTCTACTCTTTTCTGCCTTAAATTATAGGTATGTTCATATGACAAATAGATTACCAAAGCTACGTTGCCGTTTACCTTGGCCAAACAAATTCGCAAATGATCAAGACAACGTCTAGCATTGATTGATTCCATCTTACCATGTTCAATGTCCATTAATACTATCACCGCTTACATCATGTTTAACTCTCATAGACCAGAAAGATTCCATTTAATAGCTCATTATGTCAATTATTTTCATAAAGTCATTTTTGGCATAGTAAACTGGGGACAAAGGAACAATCCGCTGTTCGATAATTGTGTCGAAGGAGGTTATCTTACGTATATTTGTGTGGCGCGGCAAATGAGGCATTGTAGCTCAAGGAGAAAGTTCCGAGAAAACTTTCACCAAAATCGATACCGCTTTCACAACCTAAAAAACTTGGTGTTACTGCACAGCTTGCCTTAAAGAAAATTGATAAACAGCTACAAGTGACCTCCGTTTATGCAGTTCTCTAACTTCTTGGGAAAAAGGTCCAAATCCTTTTTCTGTGGTCAGCGTAAAACACAACCTATCCATGTATGCGGTAACCGAGATCGAAAAATAATCCAGTAATACTAGGTCGAGTGATACTGGTATTGCTCAATTCATCTCAATTACTCGATTGCTGAATCGATGACTTATCTATTATTGAAGTATGTGGGTGAGTCACCGTCAGAGTTTTTAGATTCATCTTTATTTACTAAAAATTAAAATTACAAATCTGTTTTCAGATAAACCTTTTTCTATCTCGACTAAAACGCTATTTTCTATTGGAATAGTCCTCATGGATATTCTCTTCCATATTGATAACACAGGATTAGCTCTGATATCCTTTGCGAAGTATTAATAGGAAGGAGCCAGAGTTACCAGAGTTCCATATAAAGTGGACTGACTTCATGGTATAGTCTTAGACTAAAATATTTTTGAGCTATGGATTCGGACTGAACTTATGCACTTAAGGAGTTTGGATAAGAGTTGACGACTGACTAATATCTGTTTCTATTTTCAGCAACAGATGGCTGTTCATACGATCTTCGAAATGCTCAGACAACATTATAAGTCAAATGTCACGATTATGGGCGATTGCTGGGGTCATTGTTGTGCAGAAAAGCCATCTGAGAAAGATATAAAGAATCATCGATGCGGTCACAAACTGAATTATCTAGATGGGAACCTCACTTTATTTCATTATAATTTGATTTCAATGCAACCATAACATCGAGTGAACTAACCAAGGGAAAAACAGCTGAATTTGATACGTTCTTCAATATAGCTGAATTTTGGTTGAGTTCGACTGATTTTAAATCGATTACATTCACTTATAGTAACTCTCATATCTGCAGAACCACAGAAAGAGCAGAAAGTCGATGACTTCAGTGATTAATACAAGCGAAGACGATAGTGGAAATAGTGGAAACGAAAGAGAAATCTAAACGCTGCTAGACGAATGTTCTTCCCAGTATTGGCTGTTTAATACGCATATCGTTATCATGATAGTTTTCGGGGGTTAACTCGCATCTGACTCTCGTTCAATTTAAGGAAAGTTTTTTTGACTTTTAGGAATATGCGTGAATTTGAGTGAATTTTGAATTTAACGAACTAAAGTCAACATTAGGCTGTTCAACCTTGGGTAGAGAATCAACTATATGTGCACAAACTATTAATTGAGATCTGAAGAAAATGCAAGAATGATCAGAGAAATGGTGCGTCCCATTAAATCTAGCCAAATGTGAGGCAATAACATTTCCATCACGATGTAATCGTAAAAAGCGTTGTCTTTGCAACCGTTACAATTGTACTGTTCACTGATCGTAGGAAACGTGAAGGTAAAATATCTAGAATTGTTACTATTCTTTGAACGAGCTACAAAATCGCCGACGATTTTTCAGTTTATAGAAAATCAATCGAATTTCGATAAATAATTTCCAAGAATCCGGAAATTCCATTTGATTTTCTATAAACTGAAAATTCGACATCGAAGTTCGGGTTTCTTGGGAATTATTTATAGAAATTCGATGAATTTTCTAGAAAGTAGAAAGTTCGCCCAGGAATTTCTAGACCAATTTCCATAAGGACGTGGGTATTAAACAGCCATCGTTTTGAAGTTATTCGGAAAACAACCAATTGTCTTGAATTTTAGCGATAGTGGAAATGAAAGAGAAATCTAAATGCTGCTAGACGAATGTTCTTCCCAGTATTGGCTGTTTAACACGCACATCCTTATCATGATAGTTTAAACCCTTTAAGGTTTTGCCTTTTGGAAGACCGGTTTCCTAGGATACCTTTGGAAAACCACGTCAGATCTCCAAAAACGTCCACTCGATTGTGGAAAACCGCAAGTCTCTATCTTTTATCGTTTAGAAGTTATTCCGAAAACAACCAAGTGCCTTGAATTTTTGAAAGCGAAATCTAGTGAATTTTGGAAATTCACTCAAATTCGAGCCAAGTCCTAAAAGTCAAAGAAACTTTCCTTAAATTGAACGAGAGTCAGATGCGAGTTAACCCCCGAAAACTATCATGATAACGATATGCGTATTAAACAGCCAACTGGGAAGAACATTCGTCTAGCAGCATTTCTCTTTCGTTTCCACTATTTCCACTATCGCCAAACTTGGTTGGTTTCAGAATAGCTCCAAAACGATAAAAGATAGAGACTTGCGATTTTCCACAATCAAGTGGACGTTTTTGGAGATGTGACGTGGTTTTCCAAAGGTATCCTAGGAAACCGGTCTTCCGAAAGGCCGTCATCATCATATCCACTTTGTTGTGAA